TTATGCTGGCTGATTGTTGCCTGTTGTTGTTGTTGCTGTTGCTGTTGGCCAGGAATCTACATCACCATATCTGTTTTCTCTATGTTCATTTGAAGTCCTTCCTACCTTCTCTGGATGCTTGTTCTGCCAACTTGTTGCTTTACACTTGCATATCTTCCAGTTTGTGGGAAATCAGATATATATCGTAGTCGGTGAAGTGCAGATCCTCCAAGTTGTTTTTGTGTAGGTCCATTTTATGCTTGTTTTTTCGCTGTCCGCTGTCTGTCTCATTATCCAGTCTACCTCATTGGCATGCAGCACTGTCATCGTACAAATATCGGATGAGGTGTATATTTGTTGGCAGCACTCCTTGGTAGTAGCGAAGTAGCTGCCAAATCACCTATCAATCGATGCTGTTGAAAGCCTTTTCAAAGTCAATGAAGTCGAGATAGAGAGTTGACTGCCATTCCAAGCTCTGTTCAATGATGATCCGTAGTGCTGCGATTTGATCGATGCATGACTTGTTACAAAATGTTCTTCTGCTTCATGTCAACCGTTTGTCACTTGGAAAAGAACTTTGGCGGTGTGGTAAAATATAATTCCATATTAGAAAAGTTTATTTTTAAATATAAAACAGCGATGCAGTATTAACAACTGGATGACAAGGTCTCGAGTACAATTTAGTGCTGGTCATAATCATGTCAAGGTACTCACTCACACAATTTTCTTGCTTCGTTTATATGCACGATCCATTGCACTGGATTCACTTGCATGTAATCACAAAATAGGATGGGTGGGACAGACTAAGAGTATTAAAAATTAATAAAGTTGGATGTAGAGATTAAACACCACACATGTGCAATTGAAATGATGCAACGCGTCACCTATACCGGAAATATGGAAAGTGGCAACAAACAACAACGGGAAGTTGGAGAGACAAAATGTGAAACTGTGTGACTAAAATTGGTATAATTATGAGTGACAATAATTTATGCATCGCTGTGTGATATTTAAAACAAATATATTTAATATGAAATTCAGTCAACAGAATCATTGAAAAGTTGAAACAACACCAGTTTTATGTAAAACACTACAGTCTGACGGTACGGTGACACCAAGGTTCTATGGCCTGCCTAAAATTCATACGCGTGGCTTGTCACTTACTTCGGTCATCGGTGTGCTTAGTTATCCAAACCAATCCACCACGAAATGGCTGTTATGACTTTTACAGCAGTACAAAACAGACTCATGAATCAACATAGAAAATAGTTTCAAGTATGTGGAACCAAACTGAAAATATTCGTCACTCAGCCAGCATCAACAAAAAAATTCAGTCGGATTTTCAATACAAACACGTCAAGTCAGTCAGTTCTTCTATACGGATCAGAAACTTGGCGGGCGGGTCACAAAGAATATTTCCAACAGCCTGTTGCATGCAGACCTTTATCAACTACTAACTGTCTTCGCTGGATCTATACTGAAGATCAGATGGCCGGGATGGGCGGGAAAGAATCACCAACAACAAGAAACTCTGGCTGGGAACAAACAAAACAAGAACCAACCAATCGCCGCCCAACAAATATGCAGGAGAAAGTGGATGGTGATGGATTGGACACTCGCTGAGTGAGGAGGCCGCCACTGGGTGACATCGCGCGCGCGTCAGGCCATTCCTCGAGTGGAACCCGAAAGGGACGTCAGTGCAAGGGTAACATGGAGGAGATGGTGTGAAGAGAGAAGAGTTGAAACAGTATGGACTAACATGGATGGGTGCAGGTGAAAAGTACAGCAGAAGGAAGACAGAAGTGGCAAGTGGAGACGTGGAGTTGAAGCCCTATATTCCACTAGGAACCCAAGGGAACAATAAATAAATAATAATGTGGAACCAAATGGAGAATTATAGGTGAAGGATAAATACACAATACGCTTGCATATGTCTTTTGTATTCCCTAATCTACCTTTGATGGTAACAGTGGATTACACACGTATTGAAGGGATAAAAGATGACATAGATATTGTCATTTCACTGCAAACGAAGCCTCATCAGTATCCTCTCGTTTTGTGCTAGAGAAATCTACACAACCGACACATTTGACGAGGAAATGAAGAAAATAGAGAACTCAGTGTATGAGAACGGAGATGCGGAAAAGCCAATTAAAGTCTCCATGATGATAACAGACAGAGAGAGAAATGTTTGTAAATTGTACTGAAGAAGTGATGCAACTACAAATACCAGATATATGGAAGATATTATTATCACCAGTTAGTCAAATCACAGGAGGATAATAAATAATGTTAAAATGTCTTTTAATTCACATTATAACATTCTAACAAGTTATTTATTTTACTGGCAAAACATTTTATTTCCCATCTTATTGATTAACAACACTCGTCTTATTTCCCATCCTATTGTATTTTATTGATAACACTAATATTATTTCTGAATATATACTTTATCTTCCTTTCTGTTTCACATAAGTCTTATACTGATTTTATTCATATGTCTAATCAATCTTTACTCATGTATATAGACGAAGCAAGAATATTGGTGTGAGTGATCACCTCGATATGATTATGAACAGCAATAAATTGTGCTCGAAACCTTGTCATCCAGTTGTTAATACAGTATCATCATCACTGCGTGTGTGTGATATTCTAAACTTTCATTGCAGGGGTAGTAGAATTTACCAGGTGACCGGGTGGACAAGTGTAGAATCCCCCTTCTGTTGTTTGTGTTCTCATCTGATGCTTTCGTCATTAATCCTGATCACTCCCCTCCATCCTGTTTTATATTAGATTTTCAAACTGTCATCTTATCGCATTCTATTGTATGGTTGTGTGTGTGTGTGTGACAGCATTTAGTGCTATGGCTGACCTATTATTCTCCAGACTTCTTAGCTTATTAGGCTCAATTAATCTAGATTATTTCGCTAGGTTTTTGTACTCCACTAGTCTGACTGACCCCGTTATACTACACACTGGTCTATCTATATATTTGATCTGACAATCCCCTCAGGGTATCAGATAAACTAAATTATTCTGTTTGAGATGACATCAGTTAGAGAGAACCATTGGAAAACCACCAGGGAGGAGCACTGGACAGTCAGCTGTTTCCCCTGTCCTAGTTTGGTGACTCTTCAGTATAGTGCGCAACCACCCCAACTGAGTTCGAACCCAAGACCTTCTGATAACAAGGCTAGTGAGCTCGTAGACCAGTCGGTCCATGAATTGTAACTTCTGTCGATTCATAACATAGCGCGATCACTTCACAGTCTTCTTCGACGGTTCTCTAACTGACGTCAGCGCATGATGAAACCCTTCAACCAATCACACAAAATCCCCACAAAACTAATACTTGTAAATTATTATTTGTTTAATAGGCTCTATAGGATCATTTCACAAAAACATAATTTATTTCTAAGTGATTGTTTGTAGGTTTGATTACCACTTTTATTCCTGCATTGTTAAGAATTCTACGTAGGGTTTCTGAAGTTCCTTCTGTGTATGGAAACACTACTCTATGTGTGATATCTTAATATGGAATTGCATACTACCACAGTAGCGTATGCCAAACCATCGGCTTCCTCGACTGGCGGTCTTTACTGACATAGGTTGAGAAAAAAACCGGAGTTAAGGATGGTCAAAACGAAACCTGCAATGAATCCAAGAAGTTTTTGAGTATTGGGTCTCGGTTAACTATGTAGAGAGGGAGGTGTAGACAGCCTAGTTGGTCCATCCATCCATCCATCCATACAACTAATCGACCAACCAATCTGTACCGAACTAGTTGGTAGTCAACCCTAACTCACTTCAGAGACTCAGAGATTCACTTGCTACCATCAGGGAATAATCTCGTTGACTTAGAATATGCAGACGATATAGTCCTCCCTCTTAGGTAAAGACGCTGACAAAATGCTGAGTGTTCTGAACACCTTGAACTGCAATCTACGAATGTTTCGCATTCGATTCGCTCCCGCCAAATGCAAGATGGTGTTACAGGACTGGACTACATTGACCGCTTCACTTATTTGGGAAGTACCATCAGCTAGTGCCAACAGGTTGATCTCTGACGAAATCTGAGCTGAGTACGGATACAGAGGGCTAGTTTCGAATATGCCAGTTTACTCCATCTCTGGCATAGACGTGATATCTAGCTGTCGACAGAAGGGCGTGTCTACTGCTCATCAGTCCACTCCGTCCTCCTTTATGGCTGTGAGACCTGGACATCACGAGTGGAAAACATGAGAAGCCTAGCTGGCTGTCCTTGATCATAGGTGCCTGCATTCTATTTCCCGTGTGAAGTGGTATAATAAGGTGAGCAATATTGAGGTTAGACCTTGGTCGAGTGCTAAGTAAGGAGGGGAAGTCAATCAACGAGGCTGTGAAGCGACATCGACTCAGATGGTTAGGACATGTGTTACGTATCCCTAGTCACTGCCTTCCTCGACTATGGGCAATGTTAGCTGACATAGGGTCAGGCTAGAAAAGAACTAGAGGTGGTCAAACCAAAACATGGCCTCATCAGTCAATGAAATCCACAACAGTTAGTTTAAGCCAGCCATCTAGTCACATATGAAGGTGTAGACCACTTGACTGGTTGGGGTCCTTGGGACGGTAGAAACCAATGGTTGGAAACTATTGGTGATATGGTTCAAAATCCTCGTTCTCAATGGCTGGTGCAGATGCATCCACTCCATAAAACTTATGATTTCCAATAAAAATATGTTGTTCTTCGTTATTACTATTCCTTTGTCTCATACCTCTGTTTACTATCCCTGTTATGCATTTCTTCTACTTTCTTCTGTTGGTTTGTGTGCTACATTGAGGGAGTGGAGTGTGGAGAATTGAACTGGTGCACATCGGTACAAAGTTTTATGTCGGAAAAAGACAGTCAATCAGTGAGACTTTAAAGCCTCAATATTCATTTCATTTTGTCCACATATCTATGAGTATTGAGCATAGAATAAAAATGTAAAGAAGTAAACGTATCACAACCAAACACACCCCCACATACATACACTTACAGTGCAACTTACTAGACCAACCACATCATTCTCATCAGTGCATAATTCTCCACCTTGACCAGATAAACAACTATCATCATCAGAATCAGTCAGTTGTAAGTCTTTTGCAACTAAATCATCATTTAAATCTAGCTGAGAATAATCCAAATGCCCGCTGACTGTACTAACACCAGCAACACCAACACCGGTGATTGATCCTGGCATTTCTGAATTACCTACAGAAAACTAAAAAAAACCAAAAAAAGACAAAAAATCAAGAAAGAGATCACACTAAATACAAGCAATTCAAGATGAATGAAAAAAACCACAGAGAAAAGTACACACACACACACACACACACACACACCACCCACTCAATTCCGTTCACCTAAACAATATAAGCACAAAATAAGGTCAGGTAAACCAGATTTACTGCTTTCCCCTTGGTGGAGGAAGAAAGTTTCTACAATTGTGAAAGAGTAAGAGTGAATGTTCAACACTTCTTATTGAATAGATGAACTATAAAGGTTAATCAACTAGGGGAGTTGGAGAATCCTACGCATGGACTCAACAACTCGAAAGGAACGAATTTGTTTGCGATGAACCTGTTTTGTTTTCAATTAGATCTCATTAGGCTTAACTCTAATATGCATAAGTTTACAAATAAAAATTCAAATATAAACCAATCATGGTGTTTTGTTTATAGGATAATACGATGGTGAATATAAGTTGTGCAATTAGTCATAATAGTAGTAATGATAATAGTAATAATAATAATAATGTTTTTATCAATAATAAGGATGAAAAAGTGAGGCAATCTGTGATAACACGAATAATGAAAAACAGTATGATTAAACAAACAATTGTTCAGGTGGAAGTAGTCGATAAAGGCTAGTAAAAACAAATGAACCGATTCAGTAATGCTAGACTGATTGTAAGGGAAGTAAATGAGACACGTTTTTAATGAAGATGTGATAAGATAAAGGGATGATAAGAAAAGGGGTTGAAAATATAAAAAAGGGTTGGTGTAGAAGTCATTAGTTGGTTATATCTTAATAAGCCAAGGGAGGGATAATGGCTGAACGAACTTCTTTGGAATGCATAGTTTAGGTGGAACAATATTGTTGTCAATTAGATCTCATAAGGCTTAACTCTAATATATATATATAAGTTCTGGTCACCGATAACCATGTGAATCCACCTCATAATATTCCCTTCTTAATGTGCTAGTCAAACTTCCCGTTAAAGGCTTGAACAGTAACTTCTTAAGACAATCCTGTGCTTCCGGTATGCGGTATCCGGACAGTATCTCGGCCCACACACACACACAAATCATGGAGGTGGTACATGTAGTGGAGCCCGGATTGTATGAAGTCTGTGTTTATATCAATACTGTGCTCTGCTGAATTCAGTTAGAAAATATTGTGGAATGGGAGACAATGATGATGGTGATTAGCCACAACAGATTCATCCAGTGTGTGTGTGTGGTGGGAAAAATTGACAAATGAGTTCAAGGTTATAAAAGGTGTCATGTGAGTGAATGGCTAGTACAAAATGGCATGCATTGAAGAGAAAGGAGATAGTAAGACTACAACGAGAAGTTCATTCTTCATGAAATGAACAATATGTGAAATGAAACAGGTAGAGGTATATATTGAGAAAATAGATAATACCACTAACTATAAATCCAGATAGTATAAATAGAAAGTTCCACAGTGTGGTCTATCCAGTCGGGAGTAAGGATGGATGTCCCGCCGATGATATTGGTTGGTGGTTTGTTGTGCTAAAATCACAAATCGGTAGAAGTTAGAATTTATGAACTGGCTATTGGATCGGGTCCCAGTGACTGAATGGTATACGAGCCAGCTTGCCTTGTAACCGGAAGGTCCTGGGTTTGACCCCCCACCCCCACCCCCCGGCAGTGGGCGGTGAGTAGTGCCAACGAGTCCCAAGCACTAGGACGGAGGAAACAGATGTCTGGCATTACTCCCTGGTTTCGCGAAGATTCTCTAACTGATATCAATCAATCTGCAGTCAAACTCGAAAAACAAATCTAATTCTTACAAACCAAATTCTTGAAAAGTTTCACAGTATTCAAAGAATGCTTCAATGAAAGGTATGAATTATAACGAATAATAATAATCGTAATGATAAGCAAAGCAAAAGAAAAAAAAACCCCAAAAGGGTTAAGGGGAAGAGACATTCTTAGTGAGAAGAAGAAACTTTAATCCGTTCCAATTTAGTCGATCTTATTGCAACAGCTTCAGCTATAATGTAGGAAGGAGATGTAAGCGAACTATACATAACAACGTCTTCGGAATTCGGTAATATAACCCTGAAGGTTGTGTTGACGTCGAGTATCGATCAAGTGTGATAGAATCAAGCTTTTTATAGCATTTAATTCCCCTCCCCCCTTGGTGAACTAAACTGGTAAATGTTCTCGAACCTGTAGACGAACCTGCCTAATTGTATCACAGGAACAGTTGAAATGGAATATACATTCCATAACTAATCTGTTATCATCTGTAAAACTGTATCCGTCTTTATAACTGGCTATCAGTATTGTAACGCCAGCAAATATCATCATTTCATAGGTGGATGGTGACTAGCAGTGAAATCCGAGACAACGCGGATTTCGCCCTATTTGGAACTCGTCAGACAGCAGGATGTACCTACATTCCCCAGTGATATTCCCTCCGCCGAGGCCCGAACCCAGTCCCGATAGTTTCAAACACCAAAGCGTTAGGCACTAGACCACTTGGGCGACGACAGCTAGCCACCTCTTGTACAACGGGTCATATTAATTATTTAATTGAATTTTGGGGAATACAAGTACACCCAGCCAGTTGACGAATCACAAGTGGGATGAAATACGCGTTGTCCTGGATTCCATTGCTAGTCACCATCCACCAATTAACTTCTAATTGCATGCTAAGACACTGTCGAAGCATCTGCACAAGAAGCCGACATGTCATCGTAAGATCGAGCGCTTCTGTCCAAACAATCGACGGGAAAACCTAAAATTAAATTAAATTATCATTTTGTAATTGTAAGAACCTGAAGAGGACACTCACTAAAACTGTCAGAGCAAAGCAGGAAACACTACGTGACATCACTGAGGAATCATGCGTGGAACTCTCTGAAGGTGATTTACAACGAAACGTGTTCAACGGCTTTAGGAAGAAAGAAGAGACAAGACAAGGAATGGCTCTCAACGGACACTTGGAAATTAATAGAAGAGAGGAGAATGGTGAAAGAGAAAATGATTCAATGCAAGGGCAGACAAGAGAAGGAGACGCTGAGCTCAACTTACACAGCACTGGACAAAGAAGTGAAGAAGAGTGCTAGGAAGGACAAAAGACGATTCTACGACAATCTGGCTACTGAAGCTGAGAAGGCAGCAGGCAAAAGGGACCTGAGGACACTATATCAGATAACCAAATCTCTATTCGGGAAGAGATCAACACAAGTGAAACCTATAAAAGACAGCCAAGGGAACCCAATCACCAAGGAAGAAAGACAGATTAAACAAAGGGCGGATCACTTCAAAGGACTCTTGAACCGACCATCACCTGCAACCCACCCAGAAATACCAACAACAGCGCGCATACAACTGCAAGTTGACACCAATCCTCCGACGAGAGCTGAAGTCTTGAACGCAATCAAGCTTGTAAAAGCTGGAAAAGCAGCTGGATCAAATGAAATACCACCTGAAGCACTGAAAGCGGACCCAGAGACTACAGCAGATATGCTGACTCCATTATTGCAAACGGTCTGGAGGAAAGGTTACCTCGTGAAACTACCAAAGAAGGGCGACTTAGGACTCTGCAAGAACTGGCGAGGAATCATGCTCCTGTCGACGCCAAGTAAAATCGTGAGTCACATAATCCTGGGGAGAATAAAGGACGCACTGGAGACAGAACTCCGACCAGAACAAGCTGGATTCAGGAAAGGTAAATCATGTTCTGACCAAATCGCAACTCTACGCATCATCATCACAGAACAAAGCATGGAATGGCAATCAAACCTCCACCTCAACTTTATGGACTTTGAGAAGGCCTTTGACAGGGTTGATCGCGAAGTAATTTGGAAATTACTCGAGTACTATGGCCTACCCCAAATGTCCATCAACCTTATTCAACAGCTGTACGACAACGGCACATGTCAAGTGATCCACAACGGAAAACTCAGTGAGGCGTTTGGAGTAAACACAGGAGACAGACAAGGGTGCTTATTATCACCAATGATATTCCTAATTGTGGTGGACTGACTGGATTATGCATCAGACAGTGGGAAACGAGAACCGGGACAGAGATATCCTGGACCGACGTGAAGAACCTAGAAGACCTGGATTTCGCGCGCAGATGATTTATGTTTGATGTCACACAAAATAGAAGACTAACAAGCGAAAACCGACAAACTGGTCAAAGAAGCAGCTGGCGAAGACAGGACTCCAGGTGAACATAGACAAGACGAAGGTTATGAAAATAACCAACCAACAACAGCAACAACATCCAGCGCCAATCACCATCAACGGGAGGGATTTGAAAGGGGTTACTTCATTCACTTCACTTATCTAGGGAGCATTGTCTCAACTACAGGCAGTTGGAACGGACGAGAATGTCAAATCGAGCGGATCGTATAGAATATTTCCAACAGCCTGTTGCATGCACACCTTCATCAACCAACAACTGTCTTCGCTGGCTCTATACTGAAGATCAGATGGCCGGGACGGGCGGGAAAGAATCACCAACAACAAGAAATTCTGGCTGGGAACAAACAAAACAAGAACCAATCACACAAGAACAACAAATATGCAAGAGAAAGTGGATGGAGATGGATCGGACACTCGCTGAGTGAGGAGGCCGCCACTGGGTGACATCGCGCGCGCGTCAGGCCATTTCTCGAGTGGAACCAGGCCGAAAGGGAAGCACGCGGCGAGTTGGTCGTCAGTGCAAGGGTGACATGGAGGAGATCGTGTGAAGAGAGAGGAGTTGAAAGAGTATGGACTGACATGGATGCAGGTGAAAAGTACAACAGAAGACAGAAGTGGCAGGTGGAGGCGTGCAGTTGAAGTCCTCCCTATGTTCCACTAGGAACCTGAAGAGAAGGATGTATTGAATGAGCATATTTTTCGTTCAGATTGTCTTTTAAATCATTATTATTTGGGGGAGATATTTCACACTATTAAATCATTTATAAATATACATATGCAACACATTTGTAGGAGGTCAAATTAATTACAG